CACCTCTCATACCATGTTCCGCACCTCTCATAACATGTTTCGCACCCCTCATACCATGTTTCGCCCACCGGCAGTGGTCGTAGTATTAGATTTATATTAAGTAACTATGGGACAGAAACATCCAGTCCCTGACCGGACGGGTACCGGTCAAGATTGGAGAAGGGACATTAGGAAAATGTCTACTGACAATTCTAACAACAAATTAGTGTCTAATGACCAACTCTAGTGTCGAACCCAAGTCTAAATACTAATTCTAATAACTAATTCAAATTTCTAATGACCAATTCTAATGGAACTAGTTTTCAGACGTTCGGAATCAGTTGTCCGGAATCAAAACATTGTCTGAACATTAGACTTAACATCCACTTTTTCCACAGACCGTTGACAGAAACACAGTACAGTACATTTCCTTGAAGACCAGACTTCTACGCGTCGCATACGAGAAATAACTTTGCCACGTTTCTGCTAACGGTCTATGAGGCTAAGTCCACGTTAAGACTAACGTCACACCCGATGTTATTTCCGACACCCCTGGGCAGCGTCCAGCCAATCTCTTGGTCAGCATCTCACCTAGGTGACCCTTGCAGACTTGTGCGTAGAGCTTCAGCCGGGCGGCGGCCGGAGAGTCACCAATCTGTGAGAACCACACATCCACCTTCTCATCTGCCAGCTTCCTCGCAGCCGTCTTGCCGACCCGCAGGATGCCGTCACGCAGTATCTTCGTGATGGGAGTGTGCTTGCCCAGTCGACACACCTGCACACAAGAGAGACTCAGCTATAGATGTCACCAACTATAGATAGACCACAGCTATAGATAGGTCACAGCTATAGATGTCACCGACTATAGATAGATCACAGCTATAAATGTCACCAACTATAGATAGATCACAGCTATAGATGTCACCGACTATAGATAGATCACAGCTATAGATGTCACCGACTATAGATAGATCACAGCTATAGATGTCACCAACTATAGATAGATCACAGCTATAGATGTCACCGACTATAGATAGATCACAGCTATAGATGTCACCAACTATAGATAGATCACAGCTATAGACGTACAGTACAGTACGCGTCTCTATGCGCAACTCTCGCAATAATAAATAAGCACTACACATATCTTAGTGTATGTAAATGACGCGGGGAGTATAAGGAAGAGGAAGGGAAGATGAAGAAGGAGGACAAAGAGGAGGAAGGAAACAAGGAAACAAAGAAGCGGGAAGAGGACCAGGAGGAAGGGGGAAGACGAGGAGCTATGAGGGGCTAGAGGGGAAAGACAAGGAGGCACAAAGAGCTAGAGGGTGGAGGACAAGGAAGGAGGGGGAAGATGAGGAGGTACGAGAGGCTAGAGGAGGAAGAAGAGAAGAATGGTGCAAAGAAGGAGGAGCAGGGAGGAGGGAGGAGGGAGGAGGGAGGAGGAAAGAGCAGGGAAGAGGGAGGAGGAGGGAGGAGGAGGGGGAAGATGAGGAGGTACGAGAGGCTAGAGGAGAAAGAAGAGAAGGGTGGTCCAAGAAGGGAGGAGGGAGGAAGCGGAGGGAGGGGGAAGACGAGGAGGTACGAGGAACTAGAGGAGGAAGCGGAGGGAGGGAAAGACGAGGAGGTAGAGAGGAGGGAAGGAGGAGGAAGGAGGAAGGAGGAAGGAGGAGGGTACGCACATCGTAGGTGCTGCTCAGCTCCTTGAAGAAGACGCGAACGCTGCTGAGCACGTGCTCGTTGTCGGGGGCAACGACGACGTATGCGACGTCGCGGCTTGACGAGTATGGCTCCAGCAGCAGCTTGTCCCAGTAGGAGACGGCGTAGGGTGACAGCGACATCCAGTCCTTATCGTGGCCGACGAGTAACGACGGAATAGGCTGCGGCTCACACTGCTCCTCCGTACCTGTAACCACGGCAACCATGATCACAACGACGACAACAATAACAACAATAAAAACAATAACAACAACAACAACAACAACAACAACAACAACAACAACAACAACAACAACGATAACAAAGATAACAACAAAAACAACAACAATGACAAGTTGACAACATCAATAACGATAACGACAACAAAAATGACAAAAACAATAACGATAACAACAACAACAACGATAAAAACGACAACAACGAATGCTAAAGGTACTTTTTACCAACGACGTTACCTCATCGACCGTGAGAACAAATACCGTACCACGGCGCATCTAATAACAGCATTAATAAGTCTAGGCTCCCTTCGTCGGACAACGAGCGTAGTTTCGCCTGGAGTACTCACCTCTGCCGGCCAGCTTGTGGAACTGCCTCCACGTAAGCGGCCCGGCAACGTTGTACGTCGCCTCCCACAGCTTCTTGTTCTTCCTCTGGATGGCTTCCTGCAGGTAGGGCTGCAGCGACCGCATCACCCGCACGACGTCCTGAGAATTCACCGTGCTCACCGCTGCGACAAGCACGAAAATAACAGGTCAAACCTCTGCTATATATACACACAACGCTCACAAAACAGTGTCAAACCTCAGTTGGACACATGCAACGCTCACAAAACGCTGTCAAACCTCCGCTATATACACGCAGCGCTCACTAAACATTGTCAAACCTCCACTGGACACACGTAACGTTCACAAAACGCTGTCAAACCTCCACTGTATACATGCAACACTCACAAAACACTGTCAAGCCTCCGTTGGACACATGCAACGCTCACAAAACACTGTCAAAGCTCTAGTAAACACATACAGTGTTTTACAAAATGCTGTCAAACCTCCCCTGAACATATAGAACTCTAGCCAAACACAATCAAACCTCTACTACGCACACACAATGCTCGCAAAACACTTTCACACCTCTACTAAACACATACGTACGTTATGCACACACACACACACGCACGCACACACACACAGTGAGAAACGCACGAACGCACGCACGCACGCACGCACGCACGCACGCACGCACGCACGCACGCACGCACGCACGCACACACACACAACACACACTGACACAGCTTGGTGACAGCACGTGTGAACGTGTACGACGCCACCTCACCACCGCCTCACTGAGAGCAGTCAGCCAGTCACGTGCACTCACCACGTGAATACGCCCAGGTGTGTATGCAGGACCTGAGCAGTGCCTTGTCCTGCTTGCCCGAGCTGCAGCCGTCCCAGTACTGTCTCGACTGATCCAACGCATTCATGCACGCCTCACAACCATCTGCAACACACGGTGACGATCGCCGGTGAGCAAGATGCGTACTGCCCAGCAAGATGCGCCCGTGTACTCACTCGCGAGTCCAAGCGCGAGACAGAGCAGGGCACGCATTCAAGATAATGTAGATGGACGAGTTATGATTACCATCTGTTTAATGAATGTCATCAACGCTCGTCACATGAGGAATACAAGTGTGTGAAAGAAAAGGAAATCGAGGGTAATGGGTACAAGAGATACACGACAAAGAAGTAAAGACAGCGACAGACAGACACACAGAGAGAGTGAGAGTTAGAGTGAGAGGAGCGAGAGGGAGAGGGAAAGGGGGAGCGAGGGAAGGGAGGTATGGATGGAGGGGGGAGGAGGGAGGGAGAGACAGAGAGAGACAGAGAGAATGATCGATGTGTCTTGGCGTTGCGAATAACAGTCGTATTTGCCACTCTGCATGCATCAGGATACCTATCACCTTTGCCATATCGTATTCGCCATGTGTATCATGGCGCCTCTAATTAACGTACCCATGAGTTCCAGTTCGCGTAGCTCCTTATGCGCGGGTTCTGCACTGCTGCGCAGATATGGCTTCGTGAATTTAAACAGCAGAGTGAGCGAGGAGAACAGCGTGGAGCACTGAGCCTGCATGATGGTGATGAGAACCTGCAAAAGTGCAACGATGACGTCATGCATTACTAACATTATAAACATTGCTAGCATTCCGTGTAAATTTATGTATTTCTGGCCTTCCCGCTAACCCACATACCTGCGAGCATTTCACATACTTGACACCCCTCACCTACCTCCCACCCCTCTCCTCCATCCTGCATCTCTCTCTCTCTCTCTCTCTCCTGCCCCAACCCCTGCCACTCCCCTCCCTCCTGCCTTTCTCTCTCCTGCCCCAACCCTTGCCACCCCTCCCCTCCCTCCTGCCTCTCTCTCTCTCCTGCCCCAACCCCACATACCTGCGAGCATTTAACATACTTGACACCCCTCCCCCCCCCCCCACCCCTCTCCCCCATCCTGCATCTCTCTCTCTCTCTCTCTCCTGCCCCAACCCCTGCCACTCCCCTCCCTCTCTCCTCCCTCCTGCCCACAACCCCCTGCCACCCCCTCCCCCTCCTGCCTCTCTCTCTCTCTGGCCCCAACCCTGCACCCCTCCCCTCCCTCTGCCTCTCTTCTCTCTCTGCCCCAACCCCTCTCCCTCCATCCTGCCTCTCTCGTCTCTGCGCTGCCCCCAATCCCCGCCACCCCTCGTCCTCTCCTGTCCTCGCTCTCCCTGCCGCCACCCCTCCCCTCCCTCCTGCCTTTCTTCCTCCCTGCCATAGCCACGCCAACCGTCTCACCCTCCCCCTGCCTTTCTCTCTCCTGCCCCAAACCCTTGCCAACCCCTCCCCTCCTCCCTGCCTCTCTCTCTCATCCTGCCCAACCTCCTGCCACCTCCTCTCCTCCCTCCTGCCTCTCTCCCTGCCCCCAACCCCTCCCCTCCCTCCTGCCTTCTCTCTCCTGCCCAACCCTTGTCCACCCCCTCCCCCTCCCTCCTGCCTCTCCTCTCTCCTGCCCAACCCGCTGCCACCCCTCCCGCTCCGTCCTGCTCTCTTCTGCTCTCTGCCCCAACCCCTTGCCACCCCTCTCCTCCCTCTCTGCCCCTTCTCCCTGCCCCAACCCCTGCCACTTCCCCTCGGCTCCTTGCCTCTCTCTCTCACTGCCACCGGACCCCTCCCCTTCCTGCTTCTCTCTCACTGCTCCACCCTGTGGACCCTGACCCCTACCCTCCTGCCCCAACCCCTGCCACGACGTCCCTCCCTCCACACCTGCCACCACCCCCACTCCCTCCTGCCTTTCTCTCTCCTGCTCCAACCCCTGCGAGCGCCTCCCCTCCCCCTGACTTCTCTCTCCTGCTCGCAAACCGCCTGCGACCGGCTCCCCTCAGCCTCGCTGCCCAACCCCTGCCACCGTTGCGTTTTGGTGTGTGGTATGTTTCCCCTGTTTGGTTCTCCCCGTCCTGCCTCTCTCTCTCGTCCTCCCCACACCGCTGCCACAACCGCTTCCTGCTACATCCCTGCCCTAATTCCCCTGCATTTCCCTTCCTGCCACAACCCCTGGTGCCAGGACTGCGGGCTTGGTGTTGGGTGGTGCGTCACCCCGGCGCTACCGGGCAATCGGCCTTTTTCAGACTGACCCTGGCTGGACTCCCGCGCCGCGAACCGACACCCTGGCACGGCGAGCTCTATAAAACACCTCGTGCTACCGCCAGAGCCCCCCCTCTGCCCTCGCCTTCCCGCCCGTGACCCCCTCCTTCCCTTCGCTCCTCCCGCGTCGCCGTCGCAAAACTGCGCCACTTCTCCTCCTGCCGTCGTCCGGGAGCTGGAGTTGACGAGCGGCCGCTTTGAGAGCCCTGGTAGCTGCCCCCGTGCGCAAGCGATCGCTTGGCCGAGACGCGAAGGAGAAGTCGGCCGCGAGGGACGATCAGGGCTCAGGCAGGTGAGAGAGAAGTAGTCGGGCGGGGAGTTGTAACGGGGCCACCGGAGGGGTGACGGGAGGAAGGGTGGCAGGGGTTGTGGGTGCAGGGGCGCGGTTACGCACCCGCGCTGAACCACACGTAGGAAGGCGAGCAAATGGTATCCGGGACGGGATGAGCGTCAGGCGATGTACGCGCGAGGCCAAGTGGTGTGCAGGGCGGTACTGGCAAAGAGATGAGCAGACGGGACGCAGCACACGGCGGCCAGGGGAGTGTGGCGCCGTGGCAGCAGGACAGAGTGATGTGCTGGGGCGAGCGGAGGGAGAGGCACGAGCTGGCAGGGATATGGAATGACACACACAGCATAGCAAGAAATGTCAATGGAACAGGCAATGGCGGCACCGGACGCCACTCGCAGGCGGCTATCGGAGACGCAGCGCCAGAGAGAGACAGGCAAGGAGGGAGGCAGTAGCACGAAGTTGCGCAGCACATGATGGAGCGTCCCACAGGAGTGCGAGCGCGGGACGCTCGTGGTCAGCAGCGAGAGAGTTGGTGCGCGCAGAGGGCGTGACGGAGGAGCACTAGCGACGAAGCTAATGACAGGAGCGTGAAGCCAATAGAGATAGCACAAGAGCACAGGATGACGACCACCGGAGGGAGGTGCGGACGAGAGAGAGGCAGGAGCGGAGGGAGCGGACAGCGGAGTAGCGAGCTAGCGCGCAGGGCAAGAGAGGACGCAGCGAAGCGGAGTCGAGCGCAGTCAGGCCACGGCAGAAGGAGCTTCGCTGGGCGGCGGTAGAGTACACAGAGAGACAGCCATATGCGTAGGGAAAGCGCGACACGCGAGCGTTGGCACGGGCATCATCTGGCGACAGCACGGTACGGCACACAGCAGACAATGATAGCAACCGCGACAAGAGCCAGGAGGGCTTACAGCGAGGCCTGTTAACACATTTTAGGGGCTAGGGGAGTCTTAGAGGAGGAGAGCATAGGAAGAGGTTGTTTGTAGAGGCGGCTAGGTTTGAGGGAGTTTCAGGATGAATGCAGACTTGGTTAGAGGAGAGTAGAAAAAGAGTCAAGAATTGACGCGTGTGTCATACACAGCATTCTGGTTACGGTCAGACAGATAGAGAAAGGTTACTAGGTGGTTTAGTGTCCAGATGCGTACAGAAGGAGAGGTGGACGGCGGATCGGCATACAGGAGTCGGGCTCGATCACGACTGAGCGAGTTCAGTATAACAAGTTGCGATCGCAGAGGAGGCATGGTCGTTGATGAGCGAGGTGTCTCGAGGCGAGGCGAACAGGTTCGTATGGAATCGAGACCATCTGAAGCGAGGATCAACTGGAACATGGAGAGTCAAACAAAGTCAACGTTGACTCTGAATGGAGTAGAGATAGAGAGAGAAACATCCATGAGCAGGTTGCGCTCAACCCTATCAAACTCGAAAATGGACGAAAGAGGTATCGCGCAAGGGAGGCGTGAGATCAAGACTGAGAGGAGTAGGCCAGGGGTATGAGATTGACAGAGCAGAGGTAGGTACCGAGTCTATGGATGGTATGCGGGAGGCTTGAGGGCAGGCCCCCAACGTACGTAGGCAATGGCCAGTAGCTAAGAGAGGGGGAGTGCCGTGGGGACAAGGGGCCTCGGCCCAGGAGAGGTAATATTTGTGGGAGAGAGGTGAGCGAGACTGTAATCCGTGCAAGTGTCTGAAAGGCAGAATATCGGGTGGGACGGAGTGAGTGCATCATGGTCGATTAAGCAACGGATCGGTTGGGTGCACCCGTAAACAAGCGCGCCTGACTGGTCATAAGTGTAGAAGAGCAAGAGCTTGCAACAGGTGCAGTGCACCGGACGAGCAGACGGCAATGTCTGACGTGACCCTAAAACGTCAGATAGCTGTAGTCGCGAGTGTTGACCGAGACGAGCAGATATCTAAAAGTGCACTGTGAGAAAAGAAAAAAGAAAGGCAAGCGAACCACAAGTGCGAACAAGTGGCAGGCTGCGAGAGATTTAATAGTGACCCTAGGGCAACTGACAATGCGAGAATATAACCTGCCGGGTCGCACGAAGGCGGAAATGAAGCAACAGTAGAGAGAGTACGGTGAGAGTGAGGTATGCTGGTGGGCGAGCAAGGAGATGTTAGGAAGGGACCGGCCAGCATAGAGACGAGTGAGAGAGCGAGTGGAACGCGAGAGGAATTGCGATGGCGAGTCTCAATGTCGAAACGCAAAGAGAAGGCTCAGAACAAGAACGTGAGAGGCGTGAGGGATTAGAGGGCAGGATGAGTAGAGAGATGTGTTACGAGGAAATGCTTGAAGTAAGAGGAATTAGCGAGCTGCTGTTTTGGAGGAGTTGGGGTCGACGATGTATGACAGTATGTAATAGAGGCTTATGTTGATTGTGGTAGGGATTGTTGAGGGACGAACTCATGAACATTTAGGGAGATTTTTGGAGAGAGCTTGTGATGAAAGGCACGAGCGGGAAGATGAAGCAGGCCCATGATGAGCAAGGACAGCAGAGCGAGTGCGAGTAGGTGATATCGAGCCGCAGCGTGGTCAAGGCATATGTTACAATACTGCTGACGGGCAAGGCACGTTATACGTCGGGATCTACGGGGTGAAGGGCCCAGGAAAATGACTGGACACACTTGTAGCACGACACTGCAGCAATGTTCTGGTTGTCGTCGCTGCCGTCATTGCGGCACTTATTGACGAGGTTCTCCATCCTACTGCCCGCATCTGTGCACCATGCGGTTTATTCCACCCGAGCCACGTCTGCCGGTTTCTCATCCACCCTCTCTCTGCGGCGCGGGCCCGAACGCGCTGGCGGGCCCTCCCCCCGGGACCATAGGTCGTTCCATTGCGGCGCCCCCTGTCCACTGCGCGTACCCGCTCGCCCGGTGCTCGTACGCTGCTCCTGCGCGTGGCACCTAGCTGTTATTGCACCGCCACCCCCCTAGCTCAATCTCTCTGCTCTCGTCACGTCTTCTCCTCTCATCCTCCGCCTCCATCCAGTAGCACGCACGCACGCACGCACGCACAGCTCGGAGAGCGCCTGTCCTCTGTACCCTCGGCTCCCCCTTCCCTCGTCCCTCTCGCTCCTCTCACTCTACTCTTACTCTCTATGTGTGTGCTGTCCTGTCTCGCTGTCTTACTTCTTTGCGTGTATCTCTTGTAGCCCATTACTCCTCGATTTTTCTTTTCTTTCATCCTAACACTACCCTGTATTCTCCTATGTGACGACGCGTATGATGACAAATTCACTAAAAGATTGGTAATCATAGACTCCTCCGATCTACATTATCTTGAATGCGTGCTGCCCTGTTCTCGCGTTGGATCTCGCGAGTATGAGTACACGGCGATCTTGCCTGCGCAGTACGCATCTGCTCACGCGAGACGTCAACGCCACGTGCTGTTGCAGATGGTTGTGAGGCGTGCATGAATGCGTTTGGATTCAGTCCGAGACAGTACTCGGGACGCTGTGCAGCTCGCCAAGCAGACAGGCACTGCTAGGCTGCCTGCATACACACGCTACGGGCGACGGCAGTATTCGCGTGTGATGCACGTGACTGGCTGATCATCCTACTCAGCGAGGCAGGACCGTCGCGACTGAGGTGGCGCGTCAACCACTTCACACGCGTAGCTGCCATCGACACACAGCTGTGTCAGCTCGCGGTACCTGGTGCTATGTGCTGTGTCCTGCGTGCGTGCGTGCCGTGCGTGCGGCGGCGTCGTGCGTCGCGTGCGCTACTCGTGCGCGTTCGGTGCCGTTTCTTCCGTCACTGTGTGTGTGTCTGACGGTGCGTGGTTGTGTGGTGGTGTCATAGCACGTACGTATGTGTTTAGGTAGAGGTGTGAAAGTGTTTTGGCGAGCATTGTGTTGTGGCGTAGTCGAGGTTTGATTGTGCGCTTACTGGGGCTAACAGTGGTCCAGTCATATGCACATACACCACAAGCAGGCACAGACTACGAGCAACAGCATTTTGTCACACACACATAACTGTATGGTTTAACAAACGCTACTTACGAGACAGCTGTTTTGTGAGCGTTGCATGTGCATCAACATACGGAAGCGCTTGAGACAGTGATCTATTGTCGCGAGCACGAGCGACAGCTAGGTCTGCGCACACGGTACACACGACACAAAATCAGCGAAACGAGCGTTCGCGACACCCCCGGCCTGCACTCACTTGAGCTCTGACAAAAGAACTCATCGCACTGTCCGTACGCACAGCGTGAAGTCTTGAAATGTTTATCACAGGATCGCGCTGCGCTAGTATACTCAACCCGGACGGTTTGAACTCTAGTCGTTCATGTTGCAAGCGTACGCGACACTGTGAGTCAGCCTTGACTTCGGTGAAGCATCGTGAGCTTCTTGATAGAGGTCTCGAGCGTATGGAGGTTGCGTGGAGAATCAAAGCAGCCGAGAAAGGTTGTTTAGACGCCCGAGTGTGCTGTGTTGCCTTGTGCCGGGGCACTCGCGCCAGCCAGCGCGGAAGCCAACGGTCACAGTTCTCCAGGACGTCGTTGCGGCACCGATCCGATGCGGTCGCCCCTGCAGCGCCTGAGCTCGCTGTCGCGAAGCATCACCAGAGGAAGAAAAGAAAGGCTGTGGGAGGCGACGTACAACGTTGCCGCGAGCTGGTTGCGCGCACCGTGGAGCGACAGCTCGCTCACATCTGGCGAGCACAGGAGCGTTGGAAGTAGGCCCAGGCCGAGACACGACGCAGCTCGTCATGCGTACGGCAGCAAGTCCTATGTATCACGCATAGGAGAGCGGCTGGGTCAGACTTGCGAGGAATCGCGGCGCGGTAGCGGTGCTCAGTATTTGTGCGTCCACGGTCGTGCCGTAACGTCGTTGCAAGAGAGTAACCTTTAGCATTCGCGTTGCTTATCGTGCAGAGCTTCTCTGAGGTCAGTTGTTTCTGGTGTTGTTGATCTGGCAGATTACGTCACAATCACACATTTGTATAGTCATTTCATATAGATTGAGTAGCGTAGTCTCAGCTATACGTTGTTAATATATGTCAGTGCTATACCTATGTATTCATTGCGCTTGTGTTATCACTATCGGCACTGTTATCATTACTTCCGGAGCCTTCACTCTGTTAAACATGTTACATTATTACCCGAGTTACACACTTACTGTTACATTTACGTGTTATACCACGTACATGTTAGCATTATTAATACCGTGTTACACACGTGTAAACATGTTCATTATTACCGGGTTTACGTTAAACATTTACATATTAAGTTTAAACATGTACATTATTACCGTGTTAAAGCTGTTACATTATTACCGTATAAAGCATGTTACATTATTTACGCATGTAATGTACATTACACCGTGTAAGATGTACATTATGACAGTATTGAAAATGTTACAATTATTACGCTCGTGTTAAACACTGTTACATTATTCCGGTAAACATGTTACATTATACGTCGTGTTTAAACACTGTGACATTATTACCGGTGTTAAAACATGTTACCATATTCCTGTGTAAACATGTTTCATTATACCGTGTTTAAACATGTTACTTATAGTTTAATTTACATTTACGTGTTAAACATGTTACATTATTACCGTGTTATACATGTTACATTATTACGTGTTAAACATGTTACATTATTACCGTGTTAAACATGTTACATTATTACCCGGTGTTCAAATTCATACCGTGTTAAACATGTTACATTATTACCGTGTTACACATATCACATGTTACATCATTACCGTGTTACACATGTTAAACATGTTACATTATTACTGTGTTACACACGTTTACATGTTACATTATTACCGTGTTAACGTCACATCATTTCGTGTACACGCGGTCCATGTTTCATTATACACGTTACTTATAGCTGTCCACATGTACGTATATGTACATGTGGTTACATGTTACCTATATGTATGTATATACAGCATATATATATAATATACTATACATATATATATCACAGTCAGATCAGCCTTTAGCGACTACCTCTATTATCAATGAATTCACGCTTCCTGTTAACGAACCATCAAAAAATCCCCAAGGCGAAAAGCATGACTAGCCTGCATATAAGGACCACCTGCCTAACGCAGCCGCTACAGAGGCTAATGCCTGTACACAACGACCGTCTGCCCAGGCCGCACGGTTTCCTATTCAGCACTAATGTAAACTCGCCAGGGCTAAAAATACAATAATCGTTTATTCCGTTGACAACAAATTAAAGCACTTATACGTATGTATATGTACATGTACATGGTTTGTCTGCCAAGTCGTTCTGGCGTTACTTTAGCATATGATTACGATCATAGATATGATCATGATTACAGATAGCATTTCATTAAGATTACAATATGATTATGATAATGATTACATTTAGCGATTACAATATGTTTACGATTCATTATGATGTACATTATGGCTAAAAGATTAGCGATTACATTCCATTAAGACGCACGATTACAATTACATTATGGTAAATAACAGCGCGGGATGACTCACGCCGCCTCTGTCGTGCTCTGATACTGATCACAGGGCATGTGTTTCTTCATGAGCGGTGCCTGGGTGACTGCTGCCACGAGGGCTTGTACTCAGGCAGCGCTGCGATGGGGCTGCTCGCCGCTGCGATGCGTGCTCGGCAGCGCAGTCAGGCTGGCGCGTACTTGGACGCGCTGACCGAAGCGGTGGCGGCAGTCGGGGGCCGGTAACGTACGGCACGCAGTCTGCAACAACAGCAAATGACACCGTGATGACCAGCCCGCCATGAACAACGACAGTGACGCAGTGAAAGCGATGTCGCGCACATCGATATTATGTATCGCAAAATATCAGGCCACACGTCAGGTCTGTTAACTATCGCGAGTACACAAGAATTTTTGTGCGGCATTAGATAAAATGTGTGATATGTCGAAATGCTGGCAATTACATAATTAATATGAAGATAGCATTGATTTAGAAATGTGCACAATAATGTAAGAATCTAATAAAATATGTTATGAA